CCGAGGCGAAGCCGACCATCACCGTGATGTAGAGGAGGTAGGCCTCGCGGAAGTACTGCTTCGGCTGAGAGGTGAACTCGTAGATGTACAGCACGTAGATGGAGGGCATTAGTATCTAATGGGCAAGAAAATATCAAATTCCTTTTTAGTTTGCTGCTGTTTCCCCTGTTTGTCTAATCCTTCACCTGCATCGGAGTGTCAATCAAACTCTTGGTGATGAAGAAGGCAATGCAGGAGTACCAGCCATTGTTGTACTCCTTCATGAAGATGTGCATCTCCCGGGGAAACTCCAGCACGACGGCCGTCATGCCGGAGATGAGGCCGACGATGAGGCCGAAGAAGAGACAGCAGCTGTTCTGCGCCACCAGGAGGATGCTCTCCTCGAAGAGGGTGCTCAGCTTGTCCACCGGTGTCGAGTAGAGCTCCAGCTTGCGCATCGTACAGCCGGAGACCTTGCCGATCTCCGTGCCGAACATCAGCTGCAGCCAGATGGTGATGAGGATGAGCGAGACGATGCGCAGCGTGATCACCGTCAGCGTTCGGCGGTAGACGACGCCTGAACGCTGCAGAAGGATCTTGAGCGCCGGGAAGAAAGGCACCTTCCGGTTGACCTTGTTGCTGCGCAGGTTCGGCAGGTCGGCCACAGCCTCGCCGAGGGCGTCGGCGTCCGTCTCCTCGATCAGCGCGATCATCTTCTCCACCGGCTCGGTGCCGTAGTCCTCGGCGGCGATCTCGATTACAAAGTCCGAGGGCGAGTTGAACTCGTCGCAGACTAGGCCGGCTTTGTTCATTGTTGGAAGGAGGTTTCCGGGAGTTCCTGGAGAGGGGGTTGTTTGTGGAGGACATCGAAAGATAGCATGGTTAGATAACGTGTTTTGCATATTGTTCTGATCGAAATTTTATTTCAAAACAAACAATTTACTAGGGTGTTTTAATCACCACCACCAGGTGGCGGCAGCAGCTAAATGAAAATCTGTTTTTTCTAGAAAATACCAACAAAAACTGCTTACCGGTGTAGAGAAGACGGCCGCGCTTAGACATGATGTAGACGTGGTCGAGNTGTAGAGAAGACGGCCGCGCTTAGACATGATGTAGACGTGGTCGAGGTCCATGAAGAGGTTCCAGGCCGGCTGGTGAATGGTGCAGACGATGGCCATGGGAAACTCCGGACTCTCCACCAGCTCCTTCAGCAGCTTCATCACCAGCGAGCAGGAGGCCGAGTCGAGGCCGGTGGTCGGCTCATCGAGAATCAGTATGTTCGGCGACTGGAAGAGCTCCACGCAGATGGAGAGCCGCTTTTGCTGGCCGCCGGAGCAGCGGGCCACTCGGGTGTGGCGAATCGGCTCCATGCCGAACATCTTAATCAGCTTATTGACGCGAGTTNTCCGGACTCTCCACCAGCTCCTTCAGCAACTTCATCACCAGCGAGCAGGAGGCCGAGTCGAGGCCGGTGGTCGGCTCATCGAGAATCAGTATGTTCGGCGACTGGAAGAGCTCCACGCAGATGGAGAGCCGCTTTTGCTGGCCGCCGGAGCAGCGGGCCACTCGGGTGTGGCGAATCGGCTCCATGCCGAACATCTTAATCAGCTTATTGACGCGAGTTTCGTGGTCGAAGTTGGCGCGGCCAATGTTCTGCAGCCGGGCGGCGAAGGTCATCGTCTCGACGACGGTCAGCGTCGCCATCAGGTAGTTGTTCTGGGGGACGAAGGCGATGCGAGCATTGCCGATGTCCTTCAGCTTCACTTCGCCGCTCAGTCCCAAACGACGTCGACCTTGATCACAAGTGGATTCGAGAAGTTGTAGAATGCAAAAAAATAGATGATTTTTAAAAAATTAAATTAAGGGAACTATACTTACAGGCGATAATTTCCAACAAAGTAGATTTGCCCTTATTTGAAAAAAGNAGGTTTGTGTAATGTATAAAGAAGTAGATGATTTTGTTTAACGGCAAATAAGATTTCTTAATGAAAAAATCATTTTAAGCAAGGTAGGACGCTATTACTTACAGGCAATAATTTCCAACAGGGTAGATTTGCCCTTATTTGAAAAAAAAATAAAAATGTTATTTTGTCTGTGTCGAAATGATTAGAAACCAACTTACAGCCCCACTGGGACCCATTATGGCGGTCACCTGGCCGCTGGTAAAGTGACCATTAATATCAAAGAGAATCTGCTTGTCGACCATTTTGCCGCTCCAATTTCCGGTGCGCTCAAAGGCCTTCACCTTGTAGTTGATGTTTCGCCAGATGACCTGAAACTCCTTTGGATACTCAATCGGCAGCACCTGGTTTAGGTTACGGGAGCTCATTTTGACGTTTCTCTGCTTGAAAATGCGAATCTTCGAAGAGGGGCGACCGTTCCGTTCACCCTCCTCTCCATCTGCCAGCTTTTTTGAGTTTTCTAACTTCATCAGTTTTCCGCTGGCGGTTTTGGTTCCCTTGCCTTCATCGCCATCACCGTCGCCATCACCTTCACCGCTTTCATCAACACTTTTCGGATCTTCACTGGGTGGCTCCCCAGCTTCTTCATCCTCCTCTTCTCGTTCATCAGGAACTGTTGTAATGCTGTCCATGTTCTCAAAATCCCCTTTTCTGTGAGCATCATCAGGATTGCCGCCATTGCCACCACCACCTTCATCGTTTTCACCACCACCACCACCGCCTCCATCACCGTTGCCATTATTTTTCCCGCCGTCACCACTGTCCTCATCATCAACCCCAGCGCCGTTGTCGTTGTCGGTGTAGAAACCGTTGTGTGTCACTTCATCACCTTTAGTCGGTGTCACTGATGACCCATTCTCCATTGCCTCTTCAAGTTCGTTTTCATTTATGGAAGGCATTGGCGACACTTTCATTGTCGTTGTACCGTAACAATAAGTTTGATTTTGGCTACCTGCTTTTGCTCTAATGCTGTTGTAAATAGCCAAATCTTGACGGTAACGTGAACAAAGTATTTAAAATTAAATTTTAATTGTTACTTACAAAAAAATTTACAAAATTAAGCAAGAGTTAAATGACTATCATTATTTACTTCATAAAAGTTTTGACATTTAAAAATTGTTTTAAAAAGAACACAGTTAAATTGAAAGACAAAAATTAAATGTTACGTAAGTTTCAATTTTTAAAAACCAAATAATAAAATAACAAGTTCAAGTTTTTATAAAGTAAAAAAATATTAATTCCAATAGAATGAAAAAGTTTTATACAATAAAAAAATATCTGAAAATATTGTTGCAAAAATATAACATAAAAAGTTGTGTATTTTATGTGGCTGGTTTTGATTGAGCAAAGTGAGTTTTGCTTTTCAAGTTTGGTAGCGTACCACAAAGTAACAGTACAATTGCTATTGTGAAAAGAGGGTATAAAACAAAATGGGTATACGAACTGAAGAAGAGAAATTGTGAGAGAACAAGTGAGAGAACAAGTAAAATATAAAACGTTTTCTCTGACGCATTTTATAAAAAATAGGAATTAAGAGCAAGAACACCTCTACATTTAACTTTCTACTTTCTAGTGTTATGCAGCACTTGCCAACTTTAGAGAACTACACACACTTTGAGTTTTAAAATCGA